ATAAGCTTAGAAATTTTATTTCAGTTTTTCTGTTCGAGAATAGTGAGATAATCTTTGAAAGGCTCAAAAATGAATTTCGATGGAAAGTGTAAATCAAAGCTTTCTAATACAAATGATTACTCACTATTGTTTGACATGAGTCAAATTTTTGTCATTCGACCCGACCCGACCCGACCCGACTCGGCCCAAGGTCAACTAATTTTTTAGTGAACCGACCTGTGTCAAACACTATTACTCAATTCGATCTGTTTGAAAATATTTCAGACGATTCTATATGCTTTATATTTTGAATAGGTAAAACAAAAATATTTTTGTTTTTCGTCAAAAAATTTGTTCCTCTGGAAAATTAGCATATAAAGTCCTAAGGAAATTTCTTACGGTTCTATTTGAAATTAGAATTTTTAATTTATTAGTTTTCAAAATAAAAATATAATTCATTTAAGAAAAAGACATAATGTTTATTTAATAATCTATTAAATTAATTTACATTATAACAAATATTTCTCACGATTGAAGGTCTTCATCCCTCCGAAATTGATTTTTTTTTAAAAAGATAAACATATATATATATATACATAACCCTCTAAGGTGTCTCATATGAAAATTCATAAAAACGATTTCTAATTTAAAAACGTTTAATCAGAAATCATGATGAATATCTTGAGCCCTGCAGCGAAAAAACTGCTATGCGTAGCTAGAAGGTTACTCGATAAGACTCTAGATGGATTTTTAATTAGTGCATGATATAACTATATTTGATGCTCATATCCGAAAGGCCTTCGGGTATATATATACAAAGAAAAAAAAAAGATGTTCACACGTTTTTTTTACGACATAGGTTTGTTGCATAAATTATCAAATTACGAATAAGTTTCTTTTCGATAGTATTCGTTGTAGTGAACTAAAACTCTTTCTTTTTTTTGTATTCGATAAATAAATTTATTCTCTCTTTTGTATGAGGAAAATGGATTTGATAATATTAAAAATTACACTTGTAATTCTATTCTCAAAATAGAATATAATTTACTTGTAAAGAATTCGTTCTTGATGATGGTTTAGGACGAATAGGTCTTGGATATTTATATTTCGAATCATTCGAATCATTATCAATTAAATTCGTTGTATCATTATTTGTTGTTGTTGTTGTTGATGATGATGATGATGATAATTGTCTTGTAATACTTTCATAATGTTCAGGTTTTATTTTCGGTATAACTGGTACTAATTCTTGATGTTGATGTAATAATGATAATTTTGGTCGAATTGATATTTGATGTTGTTCAGTTGATGATGATGATGATGTTGAAGGTAATAATTCATTAACATTTGTATTTGTTATAATAGAATTTGCAGATGATGATGATGATGTTGTTGTTGTAGTTGTTGTTGTTGTTGGTGTTGTTGATGATGAAGATGATGATGTTTGAGATAAATAAACAACATTATTTTGTGAAGCAAAAAATGATTGTATTGAATCTAAACTAACATTATTAAAATTAACTAAATTAATTGGTTGAATTAAATTTGTATTATTTTGTACGAGTGTATTTGAACTATTTTGTACAAATGGTTGTGTTGTTGTTTGTATAACTGTATTAAAATTAGGTGTTATATTTGATTGATTACCATGTATAGTTTGTCCATTATATGTTTGTTGATTTATAGAACTATGATTATTAATATGTTGATGATTGATTTGATTTATATTATTTATTGAATTTGTTGTTAATGTTATATCGGAATGATCGAATGTTATATTTGTTGAATCTTTTTGTTGATTTGATATTGGAAATATTGTATTATCACTAGATTTTCCATTTTGATTTATTGAAGAATCGAGTAAAAGTCCTTCTATAGAAAATGAAAGAAGTATTTTGTCTTTTTGAAAAAGAAGATAAAAAGATATTTACGAGAACGAAGTAATTGTAAAAGTTTTGCATTTTCTTCTCGAAGATTTCGAACTGTATCTTCAAGATCAGCTGTTTTATTATGATCTAAATGAAATTATGTTTTTTGTTAAACAAAAACAAATAAAGATTTATATAAACCTTTTTTATCTGGTTCAACCATTGAATTAAGAAACATTTATTTGATAAAATAGAATAGAAAACAATTACAATAATACATAACATTGATAAATATCAATAGTGCACTGTTCCATGACAATGATTTACATATATATGTATATATTAATATAATAAGAAAAAAAAAAGACAAAAGAAAAAATAGATCTAAAAAGAAAAAATTAAAGAAATGTTTCGATTATGCATGAAAGCAAAGAAAAAGTTGATTTTTTATAAAAATGAAACAAGCATGACGACAAATGTGTCAACAACCATGATTTAATTTTTCACGCCTCCTCGAGACGTTTCCTCGTCTTTTTTTTGATCAGGTCAATAGCATACAAAAAAATTCTTAGCAATTCAAGGCTATCTATTACTAGAGTCTATTGAAAATAAATAAAAAATACAAATAAAAAATTTTAATTAATTAATTTTTCTACAATAAATATTTTCATAAAAGAAATTTAATCAAGAAATAGAAGATTTTGATTTTTTTTCCCTATAGATGTCACTTTTAGAAATTAAAATATTCATAAATAATTTATATTTATATTTCTCATAAAAAGAAACTAAAAATAATTAAAATTCTGTTAATGTCTAATTTATATAATCAATAGCTGTCATGACAACTGAAAGTAATTGTATTGCTTATTATTTCATTTTACTTGGTGTTATATAGCCAAAAAAACACGAATATACCTCGCATCGGTGCTTGTCAAACGGTGTACGTAAGCCAAATATTATAATTGTCAACGATAAAAAAAAGAACGAAATAGAGAACGAAAAAAATCATTTTTTGTTTTGTCGTTCACGCAATCATGTGTGAAGTGCGTAGGAACAGAGAAAGAGTAGTATCGATTATTTCTGACAGTATACATGCAACCAAGCACTTGACATGTATATAGTTACTGTAATGTTTCTCGTTTCGTGACTTTTATATCTATGATAAGGAATGATAAACATCGTCTGATGTTTTTTTTTTTGACTAAAATATAAATGATGTAATAATCTATTATTGATTTTATTCAATTTTTTCTTTGTTCTCTTCAAATTAATACATGTACAATTAAAAAAAGAAACCTATTAATTCCATCAGTTTTAAAGAAAAAACAATATATATATACATATATATATATTATTTTTTTTCTTTCATTGTCCACTATTGTTTTATGGTTGCACAAATAAATATATATATAAACGAAATGATGGAGCAAAAAAAGAAAAGTGTGTGAAGGAGAAAAAAAAAGAAATCTATTCTCTCTTCTCTTCCAATCACAAAATAACATCCGTTGCAGCAACAGTTGTATCGTCGATCATCATACTACTTCATCGTCGTCTTCGATTGAGTTGCACAAATGAATGTATGTGCTGAGACTGACTGACTGACTGACTTTCTTCCATTCTGTCTGTCTCATTGCTTTCTTCTTCTCATGCCCCCCGACTTTTTTTTACTACATCACAATGGCGTAGAAAGAAAGGTCTAGCTTGTTGTCATTCATTCATTCATTCACTCATATGTCTTTAGATGAAACAACATACAGTGAATGAGTAGAGAAAAACAACAACCAAACATTACACTCAAATGCGGTTAGTAATAAACAAAAAAGTACAAGATTTCTTTTCATTTGTTATCGAAAAAATGTAAACCGATCGCGTTTGACTTTTATACTGATATAATTATATTCACAAGTAATATTATCACTAATCTTCTCAGTTTTCGTTTTGTCATTTATCTTTATAATATAATAAATTCTATGCTGTTACTCTTTTGCTAGATTTCACCTGTGTACGTGCATGAAAAGAAAATGCACTTTAAGATTATGTAATAATCAGCTAGAGAGAGAGAGAGAGAAAGAGAAAGAGAAAGAGAAAAAGAAAGAAAATAGAAGCGAACAAAATCTGTATATATAAAGTGGTTCTGCTCTTTTTCATGTATCGTCCTCCATATATTTGGACATGTCATAACCGCAGTTGGAGAGCGAGAGAATCGAGCAAGAAAAAACGGAATTTCGTCAACCCAACACGTCAGTATCAGCCAAGGGCGGACATGCTTAGATTGACCTCGAACACTGGGATGGATGGTTAGAAAAGAAAGAAAGAGAGAAAAAGAAAGAGAAGAGCAAGACAAAAAAAAAAAACAGAACAGTTCATCAAGAGCTAACAGAAAAGATGCGTACTAGAATGATAAGTTAAGCTAATGGCTCTGCGTTGAATCTCATGGGTCCAATTGATCCGATGACAAGCGTATTCCATTACATATACCCTTCTCTTTCTCTCAAGTTATTCTTCACTTTTCTTCTTGCCCGTTTGCACCATCATCGAAAGATCGTGCTTTTGCTATAATTGTATTCCTCTCTTTCCCATTATCTAGTGTTGTAGTCAATCCCCCCCACGATTGTCTTGTTAAGGGCATCATTATTTTTATTTGAGCAGAATATAGTATATCATTGTCGTTGTATTAAGCTTATACATATAAGGATCATCGTTATAATGAGATTGTTGTTGATATTATTGTTTGATTGTTTATGAGCCTTGACACTCGTATCACATGAAGACAAAAGTACGTTATAAGTATGTATGCTATATATTTATGTGTGCATACTTCTATGCATGATTGCATTTCTTTATCCATTTTTTTTTTGCTCTTCGTTTTCATTCATTTATGGTTTCTTTTTCTTTTTTTTTCTTTTTGTTTAACCTTCATCATTAATTAATAAGCCTTCTTTTTTTTTTTTTTTTTTTTTTTTTTTTATATGAGAGTATTCATTTGCTCTATATGTGTCTATCGTCAATCAATCGATTTTAGATTTTTTTTCGATTACCATCTAATCACGTGTGTATGTATGTGTTTGTTTTTTCTATTTATAGATGTATCAATACGATTGTTAAAATAGTGAGCGGGGATAGTAATAAAAGTAACAGTAAACATCTAAAATAATGGTAGCTAGAGATTGTTATACCATTTTGGGTGTTAAATCAACAGCAACAGATGATGAAATTAAAAAAGCTTATAGAAAAAAAGCTCTTCAATATCATCCAGATAAAAATCCGTCTGCAACAGCTGAAGAAACATTTAAAGAAATAAGTAAAGCATATGAAACATTGAATGATGTCGATAAACGTCGAACATATGATTTACAACAACAAAAACCTTCAACAACAACAACATCAACAAAATCTGCTTCACAACAACAACATAAACAAGAAACATCATTTAAAACATCATTTCATGCACCCGGTCAACCACATTTCACATTTAATACATCAACAACAAATGATGGTTCAACATCTTCACGTTCAGCACGTTTTCGTTTTCATCGTATGGGTCAAGATCCATTTACAAATGTTCATCAACGACATTCACATTTTAATAATACATTTTTTGATCCATTTCGTAGACATTTTCGTTCGCCTGGTTTTTCTTTTTTTGATTCAACAAATAGTCATATTTCATCAGATAATGATGACGACGATGATGGAATTGGTGATGATGAAGTTGAACATGATCGAAATAATTCAACTTTTGGTAAATAAGAGAACAAAAAAAAAAAAAAGAAGGAATCAATATTTATAATAATTGATTTTATTCATTGATTTTGTTTTTATAGGATCAGATGATTTTGATTTTGATTCAGCACCACCAACACGTCGTTCTAGTCAAACACGTTTTACAACAAAATCTCGACCAAAATGGAACAATAATTGGCCATTTGATGATGTTGATGATAATAAATCATCGACATCATCAGAATATAAATTTCCATCAACATTTCAACAACGTTCAAATGTAGATAATCCATTTATGATGTTTGAAATGTTAACACGTGTTGTATTTGATAAATTTTTTACTGATGATCTTTTTTGGCATAATATTGATTTAAGTGATCCATTGAATAATAATAATAATAATAATAATAATAATAATTCTCAAGATATACATTTTCCAAATTTAAATCAACGACAAACTGCACGGCCAACATCAAGTCGTTTACGTAGTGCTTCACAACAAAGACCACCACCACCAACAAATCGTACACGAATACATGTTAATCATGTACCATCATCATCTAAACAAGCTAATGAAATGCATTTTGATTGGTTAGGACATCATCCAAGACAAAAACGAACAACATCATCATCACGTTTTGATTATAAAGATAGTGATGAAGAAAATATCGAAGATAATTATGTTTATCAACAAGCAAAACCAACAACAATGAATGGTCATCGTTTAAGACGACGTTCAATGAATAATAATAATAATGAACAAAAAATTCCAGCATGTCAATATTGTTTTCAGCCCTCAACATCAATTGAAAATCGTTTACAACATGAAGCTGTATGTCTACATCGTCCAAATAGACCAACAGGAACAAATTTTCGAAATCGAACTCATCCACCACCACCACTATCAGCAACAAGAAATACAAATGAAGATAAATTATTCACATCAAAATGTTCATATTGTCATCAAGAAGTTCGTTTAACAGATCGTCTTGATCATGAAGCACTTTGTAAACAATTTGGAATAAAACAACAAACAACAAGCAATAGTAGTACAAAACGTTTTAATAATAATAATAATAATAATTCAACATCGAATTCTTTTAATGGTGATAGTCAATCTACTTCAAAAGTATCGTCCGGTAATAAAATGAAACAACCTAACAAAAACAACACTACCAAATAGTTGTGTTGGATTTCTTTTATTTCGTCCATTTTATTTTTGCTTCTTTATATACTCACATTCTGATTTAGTTTTTGCTCAAGCATGAACAAAAAAAAAAAGAAATTATTTTTATTCTGTTCTGTGTCCCTTTTTTCTATTCAGTATCACATGATCATTTTTATATGTTATGATAATTATATAAGCATGCATGTTCTATAAACAGATCTACGTAGAAATATATGCTTTTGATGCTATGTTGCACGTGTTATAGAGTATGTAGGCGGTAAGTAATATGCACTTGCTATGGTTGCTATAGTTAATAATTATCAACATTACTCACGGTAGTCAAAACATGATGAATAATAATATTTGTTTTTTTTTTTTTATACATATGTATTATTCATCCTTAATAATATCCTTCTCAAAAAATAATTCTTAAATAGATAAATATATTTATCTATAGTGTTGTTTTATTTATTTATTTCTTTTTTCATACAGATAATTTATCAAGTGGTATTGAACAATTACGAACATGTACTCGTTGTCATCGAATATTTCCTGTTTTATCCGATTTATTTAATCATATGTGTGATGATGAAGATGATTTACTTCAAACAACATCAATATCATCATCAGATAAACGCACCAGTGATACTTTACTTGATTATAATAATAAAAAAACACCGTTAAATAGTAGTTCTTTATTCGATAAAAAATCTTCACCAAATCAAAATTCATCATCACCATCATCATCATCAAAGTCTTTCAAGCTCAGTCGTCATTCATCATTTAATGATTCATCAGGATCTTCATTACGTTCTAAGAAATTATTTTCTTCAAATTCACCAACATTAAAACAACATAAAAATTCAACATCAATACGTATATCACCAACAAATCGTTCAAATAATAATAATAATAATAATAATAATTCATCATTAGACACACAGCATATTCCTCTTTTTAAACGACCTTTATTACGAGCAGATTCAAATAATATACGTCATACGTCATCATCACCATCACCACGACCATTATTTAATGATAGACAACAACATTTATCAAGTGCTTATGTTTATCTTCGAAATCCATCTTCACCTGTGCGTGTCATCGCTTGAACTGAATGAATATAAAAAGAGATATATATGTGTGTGTGCGTGTGTGTGTCTGTCTGTCTGTGTGTTGTGTGTATAGAATAGATATATAATCGATATCGTGAAAATATTACATTTTTTCAAAACATGGATTTATATGAATATATCATTATTGATTTATTTTACTTTTAAAAACATATTAGTTAAGATATAAAAAAACATATTGAATTGAATAAGCTTAAAATAGATTAAGTTATATATTCATCGGATCATTTATTTTAAATAGCTTTTTTCTTAGAATAACTGTCAAAACGGATAAATAACATATTTCAATATCGGCCATGACACAAGTTTCTATTTACCTGAAAACAATCAATTTCATGGTCTGCTAACTTTCTTTACATATGAAAGATAAACGTCATTACACTTCATAGAATCAAGGACGAACATAAATAACAAACGTCTCCTTAACCTAACAACAGTTTATTATTTATTATTAGTTTAATTACATTAAAAATTAATTTGATCATTAATTATACAATTGTTCTTTTCTAATAGATATAGACTGTAATGAACAATAATTCAATTCTAATAGAATATTCATAATTTATTAAACATTCTAATTAATTAAAGATCATTATATGAAATTAATCATCAATAGTTAACTAACAAGAAAAATTTTATCTTATTAGACTTCAACAAGAAATGACACTGAATTGAATAGATCACTGTTATTATCGTCCTCATAATGTCAATGTAACCATAACCCGTGTCACACATTTGTTCGCACTACCGTCATTACACTGATATTCATCAGTCTGGTGGTAGTACTTACGACTTTCGACTTCAGCTATAAACGATTCAAGAGAGAGTGTTTTCTACTCAAATTCGAATTATTTATTAAAAAAAATTCAATTTAACCGAAGTAAAACTAGGTACGGAATATATTTTACTAATGAAAATTTTTGCAGCGCCATCTATAGTAAAAAAACCTACCACATAATTGAGGTCGATGTGGACTCTGTGATTAGTACGGGTGGATCAGTGACATCAATATCATTCGAATGCATCGAAAACGACTCCATTCTGTCAGTTTTGACAGACTTCACAAATACACTTTCAAAAAAACTTATCCCTTTTTTAAAATATTATTTTTGCTCCTCTAGAATTCATTTTTTTCTTTCTTTAACATATAATTCAGAGTTGTAACCGGTCCGGTCCCGAACAGGACCGGTTGAACTGGTTAGACCGACCTGTTGTTACCGGTCCAGGTGAACCAGATAAACCGGCCGGTTTTCGCCAGTTTTGCCGGTTTAAAAAATTTTTCTTCTATTTACAGTTTCCTCTGTTGAACTATGTCGAGAACGAATTTCAATATGTTTATCAAAAAAAAAACGAACAACGATGTTTCAGAAACTATCAGTCTTTTGTTTGTATATTTACCTATGCTTCTTTATCTCTTGGATCAAACTAAACTTCAATGTGAACAAAGCACAATCAAATTATGTTAGTCAAAAGTTATTTCCAAATATAACTTCATCGATGTTTTATTTGTGATCGTATTTGAGATTGAAGAGTAAATGTAAGAGAAACATTAAGTATTTTCGAGAAATTTTAACAGAAGGTTTCAACACTTGACGTCTGGCAGAAAGTTGTTGCATAGATCGACTCTTTTTGATGCTGAAGAAACATCACATATTCATCTTTAGGAAATCTCAAAGTTATAAGTGACTCTGGCACGGTTTTTTCTCTCTGAGACTGTCAAAGATAATGGGAAATCAAAGAAAAGCTAGTTGTTCTTAATGTTACTGCATTTAGCGAATTAATCTTACTATGTAAGACCGACCAGTTTTTACCGGTTTGCGAAAACTCTTGAAACCGGCCGGTTCTTTGCCGGTTTTTACCGGTTTGAGAAAATTTTGAAACCGGCCGGTCCGGACCGGTCTGAAAATTTTAGACCGGTTACAACTCTGATATAATTAATCGTAATGAAAATAAATTCAAATATTTAATAAATGAAATTAGTACGGTACATGCTGTATGCCAAAATATATGAAATGTTGCTTTTGTACGACTGTTTTTAATAATAGTAGAAATGTAGCGATAATTCCAAATGACTTATATGCATACTTAAGGATACCTCACCTTCTTTTTGACACATTTCTAATTCTCGAGAAGGGTTGAATTGATCGAGTTGAAATTTTTACCACAAATAGTACACCAAAAATAAGTAGACACATGTATGAGGAAAAATATTTCGAAGTGGACTTTTGCCGTTTTTCTGGGAAACTCTGTTTTTCCATAGAGTCGCATCCTAGTTGCTTACAATTCTCGTCAAATTTTATCCACTTGGGCTAAAATCTTTTTTTCGAGATACCTGAGACTATATCTCAGAGGTAATTTTAAGCTGTTTCAAAAATCTTATTTGCTTCTTTTTTTATGAGAGAAATACGTAAATGTTCGGTGCTAAAACCGAGATCTTGATTTTCAGAATCTTATAAGTTTGAGTAGGAAATTCAAAAATGAAAACGGCTAATTTTATCTTTAGAGAATACTTTTAAGTATCAATGATAAAAATTTCAGTTCGACTGAATAAAGTTGGATGGGATTGTTAGCAATCAGAAACTTCCAGCAAAAGCTGACTTCAGAATTCTGTTCCTTGAACACATAACTCCTTATTTTTGCTATTCTATCTGTAATAAAAATTTCAGCTGGATTGGTTGTACCATCGTTTAGAACTAGATACGGTCCAAAAAGAGAAGGGTGGGCAGTCTTGAGCTATGAACATCTAGAAACTTATCCTGAAAATTTCAAGTCATAACACTATTTCATTAATCAATTATTGAATTTTTACAAAAGATCGAAATCTAATATGTATGATTTCGTTTTGCATTGAATTTCTGTTTTGTCTCTATTTACGCTGGAATGTGTTCAGAATAAAAACGTTTCTGTTTAGAAGCGTTTTTTTTCAGCTCTATATATTACAAAAGAAATTGATTCAAAAACTAAATCTAATAAGTGTAGAAATTAAATTTCATAAACGGGATAAGTTTGTTTTGTTTTAGCCCATTCTCTACAAAAGTAAGATCATTCAATTTTCAAAATTAAATATCCAAGCTTTTGACAAATACGTATAATTCACTAAAGAATAATCGATTTTGATAAATATAAAATTTTTTAATCAAAAAAAAAAACCGATCAACCATTTATAGAATTATAAATATACAAAAAAAGGAAAGAAATTTATACAAAAAATAGAAGAAAATAATAATTTTTTTTTTAAATATCTCTAAGTTAATGAATTTGCTCGATCTTGTTCATTGAGTGCATCAAGCTAAAGAAAAAAAGAAAAAAAAAAACAAAACTCTTTTAAATAAGATTGATATTCATACTTCAGCATTAACAACATCTAATATAGACATCCAAGCATCTTCATCATGTAAACTTTCATCAAAAATTGATATATTTCCAATGTGTCTTGATACAGGTGTACTTGGCTTTTTCGGACTACTTGAATAAGATTGATTTAACGAGATATTATCAGATTCATTCAATTTATCTTCTTGTAATTCATCTTTATAAATAAAACAATTCAATATAATACAACAAGTAATCAAAAAGTTTATAGACAAAGATGTTTGTTCACTTTTGATCTGCTAGAAAGTATTTCTGACGATATTCCAAAACTATAATTTTATGCTCTTTTCGAATATGGACTTAGAAATTTTGGCTTAGTTTTTTTGTTTAAGAATAGTAAGGAACTTTTTAAAAGACTTAAATCAATTATTTTAGGTTTTTGTTTATCTTATAAGTTTCTTTTTAGACATGCTAAAAATTATCACAATCAGTCATTTTGTAGAGCGGACACTTCTCTATAAAATATCACATTGAACTAAGTTGTAGCTTTTATTCAAGAGTTTCTTTCAATGCAACAAATTTGTGGATTTTTTTGAAAATGAGTATTTAGGAAAAACGAAAATTGAGGTACCTTGTCGAATGACAAAGAAAAAAAATTCCAATAGTGTATTTTGTAGAGTAGCTTCTGATCTACAAGCTGATATATAAATAAAGATTTCAGCTGTTAGTTTTGAATTGCATTAGTAAAAATACAAAAATTTTTTCATTACTCTCGAACAAAAGTTGAGACAAAATTTCTAAGTACATATTCGAAAAGAGCACCAAATCATAGTTTTTGATTCGTCGGAAATATTTTCTTTCTAGTGGATCGAAAGTGAACAAAAATATTGTCTCAAAACTTTCCGATCATTTGTTCTATATATATATATATTTCATAAATACCAGTTATTGCTTTCAGTTGAATCATTGATGTACGAGATACAGGTCGAGAAGTAACTCCTGTTGAAATTACTTTAGGTACTGTTCTATTTGAAGGACTTGTTGGAACATTAGCAGATGTCATTGGTTTTAGAGGAAGATTTGAAGAAAAATCAGGATCATATATTTTTGCATGATCAACAAATCTCACTTGACTAAATCGAAAGAAAATAAATTTCAAAAGAAAAAAAACAAAAACTAGAAAAAATCATACTGAAAAAGTTCAGCTGGTTTTATATCAATACAATTTTGACCATTATAATCAGTATTAGCAGTTGTACTATTATGAATTCGAGAAATAGTTGTATTATTATCATGTTTAGATTGTAGAATTGTTGCTGTTCGTTGAAATACTTGACTTCGAGGTGTTTCACTATTGATTACATAGAGAAAAAGAAAATCAATCACAATTATTTTCTTTTTTCTTTGTACCTTTTATTCATTAGATTTGTATCATTAAAAAGATTAATATGTGATATAGTAAGACTTTTTGAATGTATAAATCGACGAGAAAAATATACAATAATTAGAATTAATATTAATACAAATAAAATACCTAAAAATAAAAAACATATTAAATTTTCTTTCGAAATCAAATTTTTTTTTTAAACATACTTAAACTACAAATAAGACCAATTTGCCATGAATTCAAACCTGATGAAATTATTGGCATTTCTAATTGACTATTA